AAATATACAAATTACTTATTATCCCATTGTTTAATCCTACTCCTTAAATTGTCCAAAGTGTGTGACCCGTATAGGCACTTATAAAGCTGGCCACAGTATTGGCTCTGCACCAATACTATAAGCAATAAGCGGTATCTAGCAACACATTATTGCCCCCAGATTATAAGTTAAGACGGATTGCACCGTCAAAACCTTTCCATGACTCAGACTCCGTGTAACTGTATCCCTTTGTCTCAATGTCTAAACTTAATGCAAGGGATTAATAAAATCCAACTTGTATCCTTTAAGTCATTCACTGATTTATCAAGTCTGACTAATAGGAACAGACGTCATAAAAGCATCTCAGCATGGCTATGCAATTTTTCCTTAGTCATAACTTATCAGTGGGCCCCATAAGACATTAATCTCTTTAAAAAGAGTAGTGACAAATCCTATGTACGTAATCTACGTTTCTGAATACGCGCTGCGGCATACCCAAAACAAAGCCTGTATACCATCCTTATTTCATATGGCTTAGGACAATGCATCAAAGTATGCGGGTTCATATATGCAGAAAACATAATACTTCAAGTCGAAGGATAGTTACACCCGTGGTCGCGCTAAAGATGCTTAGAGCATGAACTAAAAGTTCAAGCAACATCTTTAGGTTGGGTCAGTCCGGCATCCTATTATCTCCAAATAATATCTGCCCATGTGCGGATGCGAACACACTGTCATTGACTATGAGACTAAGTCAAACATCCAACACACACTAGTCTCACATGCATTAACGATATCCTACTCTCGTTAATACTCGACTATGGACATTTAGATAAATATTTATTTCAAGATGTTAGTCTCATCAGCAGAAAAATACTATCTGATAAACATCTTTAAATATAAATCTAGGAATATAATATTTGTTTACATTAGCATGAGATGTGTAAACATATTATATCTGCCTACACATGATAGAATAATGATAAACAGTTGGCCATCAGGGCACAACTCCAACACGTTGTACCTTCTGGAACTCTTGGCAAACCTTGCACTTTTTCACGAACTCTGTGCAGTCCTTAAGAATTGATGGCCAGAAATATCCTTGGAGGGTTATCTTCCTCGACACCGCGTATGCTCCTTGGTGGGCGGAGCAAATCCCGGCATGTACCTCCTCCATGACTTGTTCCGCTTCGGCTGGTCGGAGGCACCTGTGTAGCGTACCGTTGTACGCTCTCTTGTATAGCTTTTGGCCCTCCAACGTGTACCTAGGTGCCCTAGTTCGGACCAGCTTGGCCTTTATTGCATCATCTGGGAGGGCGCCATTCTTCAGGAAGGCGACTATGTCATCCATCTAATCTCTTCCGGGCTCGGCTCTTCCCGAGCGGTACATTCCACCACGAAGTCAGCTAATGCCTGGCCCTTGATCGCTGGCCTTGGCTTGAACTCGATCTGGAAGGCTCCAAGGAACACCGCCCACTTGGACATGCGAGAGGGCGTGTTCGGGCTCCTGAGTAGCGCACCTATGGGCTGTTGGGAAAGCACTTGGACCGGGTGAGCTTGGAAGTAGGGTGTTAGCCGCTGCACGGTTGAAACCACGGCCAGAACCGTCTTTTCGGCCACCGAGTACCTGAGCTCGGCACCCCTTAGTGTCTTCGCCATGTACTACACCGGATGTTGAGCTCCGCCTTCGTCCCGGACTAGGACCGAGCTCAATGCCTTAGGCGACACTCCCAGATAAAGATACAAGGTCTCCCCGGCTTCGGGCTTCGTGAGAACTAGAGGAGAGAGGAGGTAAGACTTGAAAGATTCAAAGGATCGTTGACATTCTTCCGTCCATACGAACCCTCGGGACTTCTTCACGACTTGGAAGAATGGAGCGGCTCAGTCTGCCACCTTGGAAAGGAAACGGCTGAGCGCAGCCAACTTCCCGGTCAAGCGCCGCACCTCCTTGACATTTCGTGGAGCTTCCATGTCAAGGATGGCGCGCACCTTCTCGGGGTTTGGCTCGATACCGCGCCGGCTCACCATGTGTCCCAAGAACTTACCGCCTTGAACTCCGAACGTGCACTTCTTCGGATTCAACCGAAGGTTGTACTTCTCCATGATCTTGAAAACTCCTTCTATGTCTTCCGCATGGATGGTCGCCTGCTTTCTCTTCACAATCATGTCGTCGACGTATGCTTCCATGCTCTTCCCGAGGACGGGCGCGAAGAGCTTGCTTACCATCCTAGCATAAGTTGCTCCGGCGTTCTTTAGCCCAAAAGGCATTACCTTGTAACAATATACCCCGCCGGGGGTAGTGAAAGTTGTCTTCATTCCCGAAGGAGTGGGGAACTTCATGCACAAGTAGTATAGGGAGATCACACATTCCAAGTCCTCAAGGCCGGGCCATCCTAGGATCATGTTGTGCGCGCAATTGATGCTTACAACCATGAACTCCATCTCCAGCTTGGCCTTGTGCACACCATCCCCTACTATCACGGGCACGGCGATGACTCCTTAGGCCTCGATGGAGTCCCCCGTGAACCTAAAGAGAGGGGTGCGCACGGGCCTTAAGTCTTTGCGGTCCAAGTCGAGGTCTTGGAAGGTCTTCTCATACATTATGTTGACCGAGCTTCCCGTGTCCACCAAGGTGCGGTGCACTATGGCATCGTTAATCTCTATCTTCACGACCAAGGCATCTCGGTGGGGGCTCGGTGTGTTCGGAAGATCCTTCTCCGTGAATTGGATTTGCTCTCGTCTTCCGAGCTTGGGTGCCGACGCTTGATGGACTTTGGCAACGAAGGCCATGTGCTTCCACCTCTTCATTTGAGCGATTGAGTCCCCGCCAATATTTCCTCCATGGATAAATCCCACAAGATATCCTTGGGCTTTGTCCTCGTCTAGATCATCGCACTCTGGCCCAATGTGCCTCTTCTTGGGGTTCCTTGCTTGCGTTGCCACTGCGACCAGTTCAGTCGGCTTCCTCCACGTTCTTCCTTGCGGTGGACCCCGGGAAGGGGCTGCCCTATCGTCTCGCGGAGCCGGCCCTCGGGCGATAAGCCGCTGCATCTCCTTCTGAAGAGTGAAGCATTCCTTAGTGTTATGAGTGTTGTTGCGATGATACTCGCAGTACTTGACGCCGCTGGACACCGCAATAGCCTCTACGTGAGGGAGCGGGGAGAGGGCAAGCTCTCGACCCGTCCCCACGGGTGCGCCCACGGAGTACACACCAGCCGAGGGCGTCCTCGGGCCCACAGTGTAGTCTTTCTTCTTCTTCCTCCTCTTCGCTATCTCCCCCGAATCTGCGGGAGCTCGCTTGGCCGGCCCGGCCTCATAGTCGGGGGCATCATCGAACTCTTCCGAGGCCAAGAACTTAGCGCGTGCCAAGGTCTCTTGGTACGTGGGGGGAGGGTTCTTGTAGAGCTCCTTCCTCACTTCTCCGCGATGAAGGGCTTCTTAGAACATGGCCACCAAGGCTTGGTCGTCCGCCCCGTGCACGTCTCTAGCTTCCTTCTCCCATCGGACTATGAAGACGCAGACCTTTTCTCCTTTGCGGATGCAGATGTTGAGCAGGTGGGAGTAGGGCAGCCTTTGCCTCCTGTTCGCTGCAAAGTGCGTTAGGAACTTCTCCGCTAGTGTATCCCAATCGTCAATGGTTCCCTTCGGGAGCCGGTTGAACCAATCACACACGGAGCCCTCTAGCGTCGTGAGAAAGCATCGGCACTTGACCTTGTCCAGGGCTGCCACCGCTTCCATGGAAGCATAGAACTTAGACAAATGATCTTGGGGGTCCGTCGTTTCGTTGTAGGCCTTGATCTGACACGGCCGAAAGTTTGCAGACAGCGGAATCGACATAACCCTTGGAGTGAACGGGGTCACCATTCGCAAGATGCGCTGGCTGTAGGGAGCCCTGGTCTCCACCCGGCGCTTGAGCTCGGCAATCTCGCGCGCAAGGCGGGATACCCCTTGGTCGGAGGCCTTTGTCCTCTCAGTTCCTGTCGGGCTATTGCGACGCTGGGTCCGCTCGTCTCGCCTCTCTCTGCTCCGCTCAGGCCTCGCCGAGCGGGCGTCCGACGTCGCGGACTCCTCAGCATGCCTCCTCCTGCCTTCAGATATTTGTCGACGGAGATCACCCGGGCGGCCTTCCGGTCCGCGGTTGAGCCTGCCGAAGGCCGACACCTGAGTCTCTTCACCTCCCAAGCGTCTGAAGTCCGACACCTGAGTCTCTTCACCTCCCAAGCGTCTGAAGTCCGACACTCGTCACTCGCTGGACTCACCGTCTTCTCCTTCGGGGACGTCTTCCACCAACACCTCCTCGATCACCGGGGCCTTGCCGGGCCTCCTTCTGCTCCTCCGGGTTTTCTTCCCTTGTGTTGGGAAGTGGCAGCGTGTTCAGCGTGGGGACCGGGCGGAGCTTTGCCAGCTCCAGCGCCGGGCACGTTCCCACCCATGGCGGAAAGTGCCGCAACGGCTGCCTGGAGCTCCTCCGTGGTCACCCCCAAGCCGAACAATGCCTGGACCGCATCCGGAGTCGGAGCGATACCACCTGTGCCATTGCCGCTGCCCGACGCGTTCTCCTCGCCACCGACGTGGCAGGTGGTGGGGACGTTGCTCCTTGTCTGCACCACTCTCACTTTCGGGAGTTAACCTATGAGTATGTTCCTCTCCTCTCAATGAAAGCACCAATTTGATGGCTAAAAACCACCGAGAATATCAAATAATATAAGTTTTAGAGAGAGAGAATGCAAAGTAGGAGTATATCGAATTAGAATTCGGATCCATTACAATGAGGGGTTCCACCCCTTTTATAGGGGGTACAATACATTAAGTCAAAGCCCTCTGATCGAGGCTCGTCGTTTAGCGGACATCACCTATCCCTTGGTCTTGTCCCTTTCATCCTATCGCTTTCATTAAGTCTTTGTCGCACGTCGTTTTCTTCACGTCATTGTAGCGGGGGTCGGGCTCGGCTTGGTTGGCCGAGCCGAGCAGGAGGGACGAGCGAAGCCCTGAGCCGAGCAGAGTGGACGAGCGGAGCCCTGAGCCGAGCAGAGACGTCCAAGCCCGATACTTAGGAGATTTTATGCTGATGTCAGTCCTAGGATGACGTGGGGTTATTCCCCATCACATACATACGTGGTTCCCCCTGTAGAGATGATCACATGGTTGATTGGCGAACCACACCACCCGGGTTCAATCCCAGAAGAGGCAAATTTGGAGGTATTTTTAGGAGTTAAACGTGCTGGCATGGGAGTAGCAAAAATGATGGGTGACCCCCTGGGAAGTAGATTTGGGCTTATGGGGTTGGGCTTTAGATTGGGCTTTCTATAGTGGGCTATCTACCTCGAGTGTTAACGGGCCCCGGGGTAGTCATGAGGTTAACGGACCTCAGGCCACTTGCTTATATATATATATATATATATATATATATATATATATATATATATATATATATATATATATATATATATATATATTTCCCGGAAAAAAACCCACCAAAATCAGTGGGGTAAGGTCCGAGCTGCCTTACCAAATTTATAAAACAAGATTCGAACACGTTCGGGGAGGACTAGACCGAAGCCCCAAAAGTAAGAGATACAACAATATACTTAGAAAGAGCAAATACAAGAAAGACGAGCCTAGTCGACTGCCTCTAACTCTGAAGCAGCTTCCTAATTTGATCTGCAGCGCAACGTCCATGGCATTCATTTGTCCTTGGAGAGGTAAGGTTTGAGATTAAGAGCTTCAATTTCCTCCTTGCTTGCAATCTTCTGTACTTTCTTGTTGGACCATACCCAATGTTGAATCATTTTCTGGATTTCAATGGTTATCCCAATCCTCGATTCCATTGTGTCTTCATAGATGCTTCTGTTATATGCTTTCCAAAGATTCCAAATGATACAGCCAGGTAGAACTAACCTTAATAATCCTCTTAGAGATG